GAAGAGGGAGAGAGAGATAGATACATCAACGATGAGAGAGAATCATTGATTGGCTGCCTCCTGCATGCTTTTTACTGGGGATTGAGCCTGCAATCTGGGCATCTAACCCAGACTGGAATCTAACCATGACCTCCTGATCCATAGGTCAACGATCACCACTGAACAACACTGGCCAGGCCCTAATAACCATTTATAAGTTTTACAGTTGAACAATGTTAAGCACATTCACATTGTGCAGTCCAGGATCATTTTGCAAGAGAGAAAGAGAGACTCCCATCTACTATCCTCATCCTATATAATAAAAGCCTAATATGCAAATTGAGCGAACGGCAGAATGACCGGTCTCTATGATGCGCACCGACCACCAGGGGCAGACACTCAACGCAGGAGCTGCCCCCAGCCCGCAGGCCCCAGGCCAGCCAAGGTGGGTGCCAGCGAGGGGTCCCCTAATCGCCCAGCCGGTCGCCCCACAGATCGACCGTGATCACTGGCCAGGCTTAGGGACCCTACCCATGCACGAATTTTGTGCACCGGGCCTCTAGTCATTTCATAAAAGAAAGAGCAGTTTAACATCAAAAGGGAAACAAGGAAGGCTGTCATCTCCCCCCCCCCACTTTATTTATTTATTTATTTATTTATTTATTTATTTATTTATTTATTTTTCTGTTGGCTGTTGGCATTTTTTTAAAATTAAATCTTTATTGTTCAGATTATTACATTTGTTCCTCTTTTTCCCCCCCATAACTCCCCTCCACCCAGTTCCCACCCCACCCTCCGCCCTCACTCCCCACCCACTGTCCTCATCCATAGGTGTACGATTTTTGTCCAGTCTCTTCCCGCATCCCCCACACCCCTTTCCCCCCCAAGAATAGTCAGTCCATTCCCTTTCTATGTCCCTGATTCTATTATAATCACCATTTCATTCTGTTCATCAGATTATTTATTCACTTGATTTTTAGATTCACTTGTTGATAGATGTGTATTTGTTGTTCATAATTTGTATCTTTACCTTTTTCTTCTTCTTCCTCTTCTTAAAGGATACCTTTCAGCATTTCATATAATACTGGTTTGGTGGTGATGAACTCCTTTAGCTTTTCCTTATCTGTGAAGCTCTTTATCTGACCTTCACTTCTGAATGATAGCTTTGCTGGGTAAAGTAATCTTGGTTGTAGGTTCTTGGTATTCATCACTTTGAATATTTCTTGCCACTCCCTTCTGGCCTGCAAAGTTTCTGTTGAGAAATCAGCTGACAGTCATATGGGTACTCCCTTGTAGGTAACTGACTGTTTTTCTCTTGCTGCTTTTAAGATTCTCTCTTTGTCTTTTGCTCTTGGCATTTTAATTATGATGTGTCTTGGTGTGGTCCTCTTTGGATTCCTTTTGTTTGGGGTTCTCTGCCCTTCCTGGACTTGGAAGTCTATTTCTTTCACCAGGTAGGGGAAGTTTTTTGTCATTATTTCTTCAAATAGGTTTTCAATATCTTGCTCTCTCTCTTCTTCTGGCACCCCTATAATTCGGATGTTGGTACGCTTGAAGCTGTCCCAGAGGCTCCTTACACTATCTTCGTATTTTTGGATTCTTTTTTCATTTTGCTTTTCCGGTTGGGTGTTTTTTGCTTCTTCGTATTTCAAATCTTTGACTTGATTCTTGCGCTCCTCTGGTCTGCTGTTGGGAGTCTGTATAATATTCTTTATTTCAGTCAGTGTATGCTTAATTTCTAGTTGGTCCTTTATCACAACATCGAGGGTCTCACTTGATTTCTTGAGGGTCTCATTAAGTTTATCGGCGGTTTCTAGAAAGTTCTTGAAAAACCTTAAAAGTGTGTTTTTGAACTCTATATCCAGTAGTTTGCTTTCCTCCATTTCTGTCATTTGTGTCCTGTTTCTTTGTCTCGGCATTTTTTATGCTTCGCTGTGTCGATAGAGTGGCTTTCTGTGCTAAGTGTCCTATAGGTCCCAGTGGCTCAGCCTCCCCAATTACCTGAGGTAGACACTCTTGGTGCACCCCCTTGTGGTCTTTGTGCACAGTCTTGTTGTAGCTAAGCCTTGATTGTTGTAGGAAATTCTGGGAGGATTTGACCTCCAGGCCAATTGGCTGTGAGAATCAGCTGTGTCTACAGTGGGAGAACTTCTGTGCTGAAGACACCCTTATGGGGCAAGACTTGCTTCAGTGGGGCTTTGGTGGTCACTGAGTCTGCCCCCTGAATGTGTCCCTAGTGGATCTGAGGAGTTGTAATTGGATGGTCCACTCTGACCACTGGGTACACTGGCTCTTGGATCTAAGGAGGTGCTAATCTAGCCTCTGCCTGAGGCTACCCAGCAGAAGCCAGCTGTAAAGCAATGCAAGTTGCCCTGGGGCCTTGGGCCAGCTGCAGTTTGTTAAGTAATTTTCAGATTACAAAGGGCCGGGCCTTTCATATGCAAAAGCCCCCATGCATGGCTTGGGCGGGGCGGGGCCCCAGGGGATCAACAGGGCGGGTGGAGTGAGCAGTATGGCTGCTCTCAGTCCTGCCCTCAGAGGCCCCGGCAATCGCTGCGAGTGCCTCTGAGAGAAAGCTGCCCTTGAGTTCCGACCGATGCCAGACAGTCCCGTTTTTCCCGTATGAGTCTGGGTCCCCAGAGACTTGCCTGGAACTGGAGCTCAGAGCTTGAGACTCCCTCCCGATTGAAAAAGACAATCTTGTCCTCCCCCGCCAGCCCTCTCTGCATGCACCTCCGCACCTTTGTATTTTACTTCCGCACCACACCTCCTCTGAGTCTCAGTATGCTTTTCTCTTTCCTTCTAGTTGTAGAATTTCCACTCAGCCAGCCTTCCTGTGGTTCTGGATGATGTCCATTCCGTCTTTTAGTTGTATTTTTGAAGTGGTTGTGCGAGGCAGCAATCTCCGGTGTTTACCTATGCCGCCATCTTGGTTTCTGGAAGGCTGTCATCTTAGCTGCAAGAAGTTCCTCCCTAACCTGTGGTAGAATAGTACAGAGAATCATAATCATCCAGGGAAAAGAAATAGTACAAAGAACAACATAGCCAGGAATTCTGTACAACCATTATTCTGATTTTTAAAATGGCTAACCTTCTGTCGTCCTTGCTCCAGGTCTTTCCTGCTTGAAGTGACTGCACATGAACTGTTTGTTACCAGGCCATGGTGAGACAAGAGCTTTCACTAGAATGAAATGAGCCATACCACTAAGCACACAGTCCGGTAGCTGATACTTTTTCACAGCAAGTTTTTATTGAGGAAGGAAGTTGTGTGTTGGTTTACATCCTGGCACGAGTATCTTATCATCAGTGGTCCAAGTGCCAATAGCAAGCAGTTCATGTAGTGGCTCTGGTCAGCAGCCCTGTCCTAGGTCTGGTTGTGTTTTTATAGAAGTGAAAGTTAACACTTGAAGCCCATATATATTCATTCCACTATGATCCCATTCTCTTCTCTTTCTCTCCAAAGTTAAGTAATGTACTGAAGTTGGTTTGTATTCTCCAGTCCATACTGGAACTGCATAAGCCCATTAGAATACATAGTGTTGTTTTGTGTAAATGGAATCCTGCTTTATACAGCTTTCTGAAATTTAATTTAGTTCACATAACATGATTTTAAAGACTTACCTATTCTGATACATGTAGAACTGCTTTACACTTTTGCTTCTTGTGACTATACCACATTGTATTTATTTATCCTCCTGTCAGTGGACATTTGTGTTATTTCTAGGTTTTTGCTAATACAGACAACACTGCAGTGCACATTCCTATAAGCCTTTCCTGCCCATGCGAGTGTGAATTTATCTAGGGGAGTTACCTGGAAGGAGAGTTGGTGGGTCAAAGGTGAAGTGATGTCTTCGTTCACAAAATCTAGTTAGCATGTTAACCAATCTAGTTGTTTAGTACCCAGCTTTTCAGATCAACAAGGAATGGGAAAGATAACATCCCACGTCAGCTATCTATAAAATTGGTTTTCTGGACCAAATTGAGAGCTTCTGATTGTTGATCTACCTAACGATTTAGCTCAAAGTCTGTCTGTAGTATAGAGATGATCTGGTGGCTTGGTCACGGTGACTTTTCTTTGTCTTTGGAGATGGAGCAGGAACCAGTTGAGAAAAGCCAGCCCTGTATTGTTTCCTCCTTTCCATGTGAACCAGAAAATGTTTGCAGTCGTGGTCTGGGAGGCAGATGGAACTGGGTGTTGCTGTCCCTTGGACTGTTACAGATGACTTTTTTGGTCCAAGAAAATTCCATGGGTCAAAACTTGGCCAGTGTTCTCGGCACGTGTCTCAGCAGGCCTTTCGGGAGTGGCTGTGCTGTTGCTCAGACTGTCAGATGATCTAAGTTTCTTTTGATCATCTAGTCTGTGGTTTCTTTGGACAGTTTGGGGAGATATCCAGGGGAGAAGTAGACTCAGGATCCTTTGGGGTTGGATGTTGCAGGCATGTCCCCAGATGGTCTGGAGGACATCTCAGAGGGTTCCCATGGACAGTGTCCCTGTGTAGCCACCACCAGCCTGGTAGGAGCACGTGGAGTTTTAGCTGTGGATGAGTCAAGTACAGTCTTAAAGAACAGAAATGATGTCTGAATAATGTACTTTATTCACAGCCTCTCTCTTATCTTTAGCATATAGTGGAGTGTTTTGATCACTCTTTAAAAAACAGAAAAGGGGAAGACAACTTGGTAAGAAAAAAAATATAGCGACATCAAAGAAAAACACACGACTAAGAGCCTCTCCATTTGTAGGGCTCCTGTTGATTGACTTTTCTCAAATACCACATGACAAGTTGAGTTATGGGGGGAGTCTGAGAGAGATCACACGGATGGCTAATCTTTGTTAATGATGCAGGTACCTGACTGATAAACATTTTGTGAATAATTTGGCACATGGGAAACCACTGTGGTTACCAGGTTATCCGATAAAAGCTTTTTCAGTGGTTGCTGTTTGTGAAGTAATTGGTGTTTTGGATATTTAGGCACATGTTTATATCTGTAAAATAATTTTTTTTTTTACTTTTGATAATCAGCTGTCAAAGCTGGAAAAACAACAGCAGAGGAAAGAAAAGACCAGAGCCAAAGGGCCTTCTGAATCAAGCAAAGAACGAAACGCTCCTCGCAAAGAAGACCGCAGTGCCAGCAGTGGGGCCGAGGGAGACGTGTCCTCTGAGCGGGAACCATAGGCTGCCGGATGGAGCTCAGGTAGGAGGGTCTCCTCCCTGCAGGCCTCTATCCTACCACATTTTGGGCAAACAACAATGAATAGAGAACAGAATGACTCTTGAGGTCGAATTCATTTCATGGACATTTAACTATAGCTCTCTTAAATCCACTGACTTCGAGGATGGAGAGAAAGTTGAAATGCAGGAGAGTCAGGTACCCATGGCCTGGGGTGTTCACCTAGGAGGTTGTGTGTGTGTCACCTTCCTCAGTTGCCTATGACAGTTGACAACTGCTGCTATTAGCATTTCTAGAATGTTCGCAGATCCAGCAGCTACAGCTTCACACGAGCTCTTGACATTGGCCCCTCCTTTCCATTCTTGCATTCGGCAGCTTCAGCAGAGACCGTTGTCATCTGCAGCAGCCTCCTCCTGTAATTTCCAGCCCAATGTTGCGCCATCATCCACTCCATCCCGCATGGCATTGCTAGTTTACTTTGACTAAAACGGGTGTTTATTCTCATCACTTCCATGCCCAGGAATGCGTCTCAGTCCACACAGTGATTTTACATGAACTCCACTTCCCTGCTTGAAGATCAGAGGCCTCTAAAACTTGATCCAGCCACCTGCTGGCCCTTTGCTTAAGTTCATTCCCTAGTGAACATTTTATTGAGAGCCTCTTTCTTGTCCGAGTTCTCAAGATCAGGGAGAAGCACAGAAGTAATTACGCTGCGGCATGGTGCATTGGGGTGGTGGTGGTGGGATGTGGGGTGGGGTGGAGAGAGGAGTCGGGAGGCTCCATGGAGGGGAGAACTCTGGAACTGGACATGTAGAAATGGGGAAATGAGGGACAAGGGAAGAGAGCTGCCTAAGCCAAGGGAAGTAGCAGGTGCAAATGTTGGGAGGGAGGGACAAGGACAGATGAGTTTTAGAACAGAGGTAATGAAGAATGGCTGAAGTGTTGGGTACAAGTGGTGGGGGTTGTCTAGGGAGCTTCTCTGAAGTTAGAGAAGCAGGGTTCTGGGTCATAGAGCTCTGGTGTGCAACTCAGAAATTTGGATTTCATCCTGTGGTGCGAAGGTTTGAAGGTACTGGTGACATATGCAGATACCAAGTTTTGAAAGGTCACTCGCAGCCTTGGGGAGTGAGGCTGGAGGCAGATAGGCCAGTGTGGAGGCAGTTGCAGAAACCAAGAGGGGATCAAGGTCTGGACATACATTTTGGAGCCTTCAGCTCATAGGCTGTGCCTCAAACCAAGTCAGCATACAGGTTTGTCCTGAAAATGCCCAATTGTGAGAGAGAACATTCGTAAGTTGTTTTTCTGCCTTCTCTTTCCCTTATGAAGGGGAGAAGTTAGAGTCTATCTATGAAATGTCCTTTAGGACACACACCACCAGATACTGAGGTATATTACAGAGCCCATAGTGATAATTGGGTACAATAGAACCGGCTTGCAAACATAAACGACCAAAGGAACAGAATGGAGAGCTCAGAAAGAATGGGTTGTCAGTTCATGGATAGTCCAGCAGGCTGGGGTGGGAGGGGAGGGTCGGAGGGGAGTTTTTCTGGAGCTGCTTCTCACACTTCCCGTCCCCTTTGGGGAGCATGCTGGAGAGAACAACCAGCACCCGCTTCTGCTCCCCAAGTGAAGGATAAAGGACTGGCTAATATGATTCCAGGGGAGCTATCTCTTAGGCCAGATTTTCATAGTGGGTAGTTCCTTGGTTCAGGAGAAAACTCCCTTCCGATTGTCCTTCTTGGGCTGAGGCCAGCTGCCCAGCCTTCATGCTTTTTCACTCTCTTGGCCCCACCTGGGCACAGCACCAGGTCTTTCACCTTCAGCGTAAAGATCATAAATTATATCCCCTTCCCTAGTGAGCTGGGACCTTACAACAAGTTAAAAAAATTCAAATTTTAGACTCCCGTGATGAACTCAAAGAAATAAACATATACTCATCTTCCAATAACCAAACCCAGCTTATCTACCCAAACACACACACACACACACATACACTCACTTGAGGAGAGACACACACAGATTCAAATGTTCCTTGGAGCTTTGTATTTTTAAAATGGCTTTAAAAATTCGAATGCCACCTAGTTGATTCCTTTATTTTTTTTATTTTTTTATTGATTTCAGAGAGGAAGAGAGAGGGAGTGAGAGATAGAAACATCAATGATGAGAGAGAATCATAGATTGGCTCCTCTTGCATGCCCCCTACTGGGGATCGAGCCCACAACCCGGGCATGTGCCCTGACCTGGAATCAAACCTGGGACCTCCTGGTTCATAGGTCAATGCTCAACCACTGAGCTATGCTGGCCAGGCTGATTCCTTTACTTTAAAAAATATTTGATTTTATATAGCTTATATATTTATTTGTTATTTTAAATTTATTGATTTAAAAATTATAGTTGACATCAGTATTATATTAGTTTCAGGTGTACAGCATAGTGATTTGACATTTATATGCCTTACAAAGTGATCACCACAATAAATTTAGTAACCATCTGTCACCATACAAAATTATTACAATATTACTGAATATATTCCCTATGCTGTACATTACATTCCTGTGATTTATTTACTTTATAACTGGAAATTTCTACTTCTTACTTCCCTTCACCCTTTTTGCCCATTTACTTCACCTACACCTCTCTGGCAACCATCAGTTTGTTCTCTGTATCCATGAGTCCATTTCTGCTTTGTTCATTTGTTTGTTTTTTTAGATTCCACATATAAGTAAAAGCATATAGTATTTGTCTTTCTCTGTCCAACTTGTTTCACTTAGCATAATATTCTCTGGACCCATCCATGTTGTTGCAAATGGCAAGATTTTATTCTTTTTGTGGCTGAGTAATATTCCATTGTATACACGTACCATGTCTTCTTTATCTATTGATAGACACCTAAGTTGTAGTATTTTTTATTTTTTTTTGAGGAATCTTCATCCTGTTTTCCATAGTGACAACACCAATTTACAATCCTGCCAACAGTGCATGAAGGTTCCCCTTTTCTCCACATCCTTGCCAACACTTATTATTTGTTGACTTTTTGATAATAGCCATTCTGACAAGTCTGAGGTGATATCTCATTGTGGTTTTGATTTGCATTTCCCTGATGATTAATGATGTTGTGAATCTTTTCATGTGTCTGTTGGCCATCTGTATGTCTATGTTGGAGAAGTGTCTATTCAGTCCTCTACCCATTTTTTAACTGGATTGCTTCTTTTTGATATTGAGTTGTATAAGTCCTTTATATATTTTGGTTATTAGCTCCTTATTGGACATATCCTTTGCAAATATATCCTCCCATTTAGTAGGTTGCCTTTTTGTCTTGTTGATTGTTTTCTCTGCTGTGCAAAAGCTTTTTAGTTTGATGTAGTCCATTTGTTTATTTTGGTTATTGTTACCTTTGCTTGAGGAGACATATCCAAAACAATATTGCTAAGACCACCTGGCTGGCATGGCTCAGTGGTTGAGTGTCAACCTATGAACCAGGAGGTCCCAGTCAGGGCACATGCCTGGATTGTGGGCTCTACCCCTGTGGGGGTGTGCAGGAGGCAGCCAATCAATGATTCTCTCTCTTCATTTATGTTTCTATCTCTGTCTCCTGCTGCCTTCCTCTCTGAAACAAAGAAAAGTATGTTAAAAAAATATTGCTAAGACTGATGTCAAAGAGATTACTGCCTGTGTTTTCTTCCATGAGTTTTATGGTTTCAGGTCTTACATTTAAGCGTTTAATTCATTTTGAGTTTATATTTACATATGGTGTAAGAAAGTGGTCTAGTTTCACTTTTTTGTATGTGTCTGTCTAGTTTTAGTTGATTTCTTTCTGATTGTGTTTATCAACTGCTAATATATTTTATAAATTTAATGTGTTGAGTTTTTGCTTTAACTACATCTGATCAATACTTTAAAAATCTTTATCTATTTATTGAGGAGTATAGAATTTTTAAAAAAATTAGTGTAACACATAGCTTTCCATATGCATAAGAATTTGGCCTCATAATAATTCCAATAGAGAGTATACCATAGACATCAGTATCCTGTGGCCACTGGGCAGCCTGGAAGTCTCTTAGCTATTTCTATGGGCATGAAAAACATGTGAGGGCTCCATGCATTGAAGATGTACAGTAACTGTGTGTCACAGAACTTCCCGGAAGACACATTTGTAGTAAGAAAACCAAGCACACAGAAAGAAGGGCAAGAGGTGAAAGTGGACATTTCTTTCTAACATCTCCCAAGTTTAAGAGGCAAAATTTCTCATAAACTTGTAGATATCTATTTTTTGCTTCTCTAAAGTTTTTGAAAAAATTTTAAATCTTTAATTGTATTTATTCTGAAAATAGTAAAGATTGGGTAGCAGAGAACCTGGGGTAAATTGTACTATTGTACCATCAAAACCACCCAAAAAGAACTAGCCAGAGAGAAGCAAACTTATTGGGAGAAGCAAACTCAAGGGATACAGTGTTTTGAAAAGAGTAGACAGATGTGTTTTCCTTCCTTTTCCCTGTAAATCAAGTTCACTGCAGCCATATATATCATCATTATGGCCCTGGGGAAGATGTGGGGAGAAGATGAGTAAAGAGGAATGATGTAGGGAGAAGCCCTTGCTGGCAAGAAGGGAGGTGAAGGAAAGCCCTCAGGTTAGAAGAGTAGGTGGGAGAGAGAAGGGTGCAGATGGAGGGACAGCAGAGGCCACACTTGATGTTCTGGTTCCCTGCTGCAAGCCATAATTCTTGGGGTGGGAGTTAAGTTGATATGAAAACGGAAGCCATGTGGGCTTGTGTTCTGGTCTTTGGTGGGAATTCTGGAAGGAGACTGCTATGCAGAATGACTTCAGGTCAACATGCTGCAGCGGAGTAGATGGGCCAACCAGACATTTAAGCATCAGGACATGGAAGGAGTTAATGTAAAGTGTCACCTACCATGGGAAGGGTGAAGAAGAGAGCTGTGTGGGTGTCCATTGGGCTGACCATGGGTCTTGGTGGGAGAGGTGATATGCCCTGCCCTAGAGGTTATAAGGGAACGGCTTTAACTAG